CCATTCATCTTCCACATTTTCTCTAGGATTTGTATTTGTACTCTGATGATTTCTCTCATTTGACACACTTTGTTGAGTTGTTATGGTTTTCAATTAAATTAAAAATAAAAAATTGTATCCATGTTTTTAGGATGTTACAATTTATCGACAATATCTTGGTCTTTTCAAAGACCCAAGAACAGAATAAAGAGCACCTAAGAGAGGTACTCTAGATTCTATGGAAGGAGAAGTTGCATGAAAAGTTCTCAAAATTCAAGTTTTTGTTACGAGAGGTTCGGTTCCTTTAGCATCGTCTTAACTAGGATGGAATTTTAGTAAATCCGGCCAAGTTATGGGCAATTCCCTCTACCCCTTTAGAGTTTCGAAGCTTTCTGGGATTAGAAGAATATTATAGAAGATTCATTCAAGAATTCTCCAAGATTTTCGTATCGATGCCCCTTTTAACGAAGAAGGGAGTTTCTTTTCTTTGAGGTCTAGAAGAACAGTTGGAGTTTGAAATGCTAAGGAAAAATTTATGCGAATATCTAGTGTTAGCCCTCCCAAAAAGTGTTGTAGAGATGGGAGTTTAGTACGATGCATCGATCATGGTTTTGGAGTCATCCTCATGCACTGAGGTCGAGTAATCACATACGTATCAAGACAATTGAAGCCTCGCAAAGCTACATACCCGACACATGATGTAAAGCTAGGAGAAGTAGTCTTTTCCCTCAAGGTTTAGAGACGTTACATATATGAAGCTTGGTGTATCATCTACGCTGATGATAACAGATTGAGATATTTAAAGGTTCATCCTAACTTAAACATGATGCAACGTTGATGGTTGGATTTAGTAAAAGACTAAAACTGCAAAATTCTTTACCTTCCAGGTAAGGCCAACATAGTAGCTGATGCACTAAGTCAAAAGACGACTCACACACTAATGAAAGGCATGTGCTTAAGGATGACGGTAGATACCCCAATATTAGAAATGATCAAGCAAGCTCAAAGTGAAGCAGTCAATGAAGAAAATCGAAAAAGTGAGAGAGTGGTAGGGCAGATCTCAACCTTCGACATTGATAGCCGTGGGTTGTTGACTCTACATGACAAAGTTTGGTTTCCATACTCAGGAGGAACTCGAAAAATACTAATGGATGAGGTTCACAAATCCAAGTTTTTGATTCATTTGGGAGCTACAAAGATGTACACGGAACTCAGACACAGTTACTAGTGGCCCTGTATGATAAGAGATGTAGCATGGTACATTGAAACGTGTTTGACATGTTGGAAGGTCAAGGTCGAACACCAAATGCTCCATGGGAGGATGCATCCTCTAGATATCCTGGTCTGGAAGTGGGAACAAATAATGATGGACATTATCACCAAGTTCTCAAAGAATCCTCGTGGAGTACGATACTATATGGGAGATGGTGGATAGATTAACCAAGAGTACCCACTTCGTGCCCATCAAAGAAAGCACCTCGACAGAGAAGCATGAAGAGGTGTACGTTAAGGAAGAAGTATCTAGGTACGGAATACAAGTCTCAATAGTTTCTGATATATATATATATATATATATATATATATATATATATATATATATGTATATATTTCACCTCTTGGATTTGATAAAGGTTCCATGATGAGCTGGGCACCCGATTATATATTGGCATATGTTATCATCCTAATGTCAATGGGCAGAGTGAAAGGACTATTCAAACTCGTGGAGACATGCTAAGGATGTATGTGGTTGATTTCGGAAGGATCTGGGACACTAATCTACCGTTAGCAGAATCTCGTAAAACAACAACTATGATTCTAGTAATTATAGACCTCGCATTGAATGCTATACGAAAGGAAGTGTTGAACGCCCATATGATGGGGAAAAGTTGGGAAGCGAGTTTTGGGAAGCACTAATGTTGTAATGATGACCACCGAACTTATCCAGTGAGTGCGAGAAAGGCTGAATACTGCAGAGATTAGGCAGAAGAGTTATGAAAATCGAAGAAGATCAGATCTTGAATTCCTAGTAGGAGAGCTAGTTCTACTTAATTTTTCACCATGGAAGGGGGTCATCAGGCTCTAAAAGAGGGGCAAGTTAATCCAAAGGTGAATCGGACCCTTTTCGAGTCATTACTCGTGTGGGCAAGGTTACCTATCGTTTGGATCTGCCAGAAGAGCTGAATCAGATCTACAACACCTTCCATGTTTCCCAATTAAGAAAGTACATTACGGATGAATCCGCAACTCTACCTTCAAAATACATTCACGTAGAGGAGCATCTGAACTACGTTGAAAAGTCGGTAACAATATTTGATAGGAAGACCAAGATCCTACAAAACAAGGTAATTTGTTTATTAAAGGTTCAATGGAAACACCAAAAAAGACCGGAATGGACTTGGGAGCCAAAAGAAGAGATGAGGAGCAACTACCGAGAGTTATTTAATTAGATTTTGGGGACGAAATCCTTGTAAGTGGGGGAGAGTTCTAACACCCCATTTTTCCATAGCTATAGATTACAATAAGGATATGAAATACTTTATATTTTTATAAAGACAAAATAATCATCATAGACACATAGGAAACATCGATACGATTTCCCTGGATGTACAAAATTCATAAATCCAACTTATTATGAAGAAGTTATTCTTCTTCGAAGTTTTTCTATTAAACAAATGCGACTCATCGGATCGTAAAATGTGAGTTTTAGATAGGTAGCTTATTAGCTTAAACAACTTAAATGAAAGTCGTGGTGGTCATTAAACCTAGAGCATGCATATAGAGAATGTCTAAATCTGACAACGTTATAGCAAGTTATGATTTTTCTAAGATTCAGGATAAAGGTGTACATCTCCAAATTTGAATTTTAGATCGGTGCATTTTTAGCCAACACAATCTAAAGAATAATTGGAGATCTCATTAATAAGAGTCCAAGGATATAAAAATATTCGAAGACGGACTCTGGATTAGAAAGTTATGTCTTTTATATTGGCTTTAACAGTCTAAGCATGTGTGAAAAAGATGCATCCAAAATTAGACGACGGAGACTAAACTAAAACTGTAGATCTCATCGAGAGATTTTTGTGGATATAAAGAACATTAAAAATGGAGCTTGTATGAAGAAGTTATGCAATTTTGAAAATCTGAAAATCATCACGCACGTGTGCATTGTGAGTAGCTTGCGCACTAAGCTAGCCACACTGCACCACCCTTTTACGGACATGTGTCGATGATTGAAAGGAGCCAACTCACCCAGGTCACGGTGCACAAGCTCCTAGGAACAACATACAAACCTATGTTCTTGCATATAAATAGCATTTTCCTGCATCATTCATTCCACACACCTCTCAAATCGTTCTCTCTCTCGATAAACTCTCGATACTAGCCTATTTTTCATTTGTTTTTGGCTTGCAACGAAGTCTTGTGACACCCTTGAGTACTCATCTAAGTATTATCCTTCGAGTAGGATATCCCGAGTCAATATTTTTCCGACTTAGATCCTGGTTCCCATCAATAACACTCTGTAAGCGAGGTACACTTACTCTGCCTTCGTCTAATTTATAATTATAGTTATAAGTCATAACTAGGAACCTATAATAAAGATTTATCAATAAATACAAGTTGTTATACTGACTGATCTACTTACAAGAAAGGTGCCTAAAATGGTCACGTTGGCTTGGTTGTTGCATTTTAGAAAAGCTATATGCCGAAATGATCCTGCCTCCCAACTGTCTAGCGTGTTTGGTCCTTATTTGATAGAACTATCGATATTCATTAGGATTGGTGTTTGGTCTACCCTACATTACATATTCCTATTGCTCTAATAAAATATATTAATATAGGTTAATCCTCGTTAAAGTGTCATTCGTTAGCTAAATTGTCCGATTGACTTTTAATCCTTTGAAAATGTATTAAGGTGATGTCTTCTCACTATATTGTATACTCCAGTATGTATCCTTTGCACGTTAGGATATAGCTACCTTGTAGTATACACATAGGCAGTTAGACTAGAATAGTTAGTTTCGTGTTATGTGGACTGTTCTTATATGTATATGTTAGTACAGATGGAGTTGATGGTGGACGAACCATGAGCTGAAGGAAAATAGATTCGGGCTGACAAGCTTTATGCTAAATGCTAAGGTACGGTCCAACTATATGTTATAGGAAAAGATAGGGCGGACAAACTATATGATGAATGCCATTATGTGTATGCATTGTACATATTTTGTGGTATGGAATATTTTGACGAAATTCACTAAACCTCGGCTTATAGTTGTTGAATAACTACTTTGTAGGTCGTTTATCAGACCGTGGAAAGGCTCCTGCATGACTGTATCTGCATCGAAGCATCAATATAGTTTTATAATCTTCCGCTAAGTTAAGCTTTTATATGATAATGAATTGTGATGTTTTGTAAAACTTATATTTTAATAAATGAAAATGAAATAAATCCCTTTAAATTTTGAGATGTTACACTTTCCATACACTCACACACACACACACAAATGAGGAGTCTACACATAATCTACCACTACCTTCTAACTGGTATTTAACATAGTCCCTTACAACCCCCTAGGTCACACTCACGAGTCAACTTGAAATTTCCTATTTCTTCTACATAAGCACAATTAGTGGCCCTTGTCGTTGCTTCCAAGCTTTCTGATATAGGAACATTCTCTCTTATCTTGAATTTCGAAACCAGTCTGATACTTGTTTCAGGTAAAGGACGATTAGGTATATTTGACAAATATTGGGCTAAATTGGTTGACAGGGCTCACTTACTGCATCTAGAGCTATCTCGATATCAATTGAAATACACTCTCATCTCTATTCAACAACGTTCCATCAGCAGTCACATTCTATTCGAATATCCATCCAATGAAGAGATCAATCAAGAGCTCCAATCATCCATCGATGCAATGAAGGCCATAACAAGTGCAGAAGTTCCCACCCCTGACATTTCAGAAGATGACTCTCCTCTAAATAAAGATGTTGCTACATGAGAAGATCCTAATACAAACTTTATGTTGGATGATCCTCCTTTGAAGACCAATGATGCTCATGATGATAGTGGTGCAAATGAAGCTTCTCCATCTGTAGCACCCAATCCTAATGATGATGAAGATCTTTTCGATGAGATCATTTTTGAAGATGATAACACAATCATTTTTGTCATCGTACTTCGCACATCTTTTATTTTATTGCAAAACCATTCCTCCTCCAAAGCTCGTTTTGATTTTGGAATATCTTCATCCTCGGATCATATGATGAAAATTAAGTCCTAGAAAGAAGTAAAATCACCCATCCTCATCCAGAAACCACCTTAGAAGATGATCAAGAAACTCCAACTCATGAAGCTCAAAACGATGACATCAAGGATAAAGATTCCAAAGACAATGAAGATGATGATGATAAGAAGTTAGAAAGCTCTACTTCGGATATATGTTCCTCCAATGAGAAAATTGTTGATCCATTTTCTATACTATAAATCTGAGACAACATTGCCACTTCTAAGTCCAAAGTTGATAAGATTAACGAGAAGGTCGCAGGCCTTCACTTGAAACTCGATCTTCTGATTAGATCTCTTTAGAAGATCAAAGTTGTTGCTCCCTTGGAGTTTGATCATTCAAATAAGTTGGACCAACTCATTTCTCTTTACTTGAAGCATACCTTAGCAGAAGTAGAGGAACGTTACAAAGACAATATGGATCGTCATCTCTCTACTATCAACACCATGCTCGTCATGAGAAGCAAATTCAAAGATTGGAGAAGGAAATTGTCCACAACGATGCTATGAACATAATGATGCAAGAAGTTCTCATCAAAGTTATCCGATTAGCTCACGACTTCGTAGATACTCCAAACCACAAGTTTGACAAAATGTTGCTTATCCTTGATGAAACCTTCGACTATCTCAAAGATCAAGCTCCTACTATTATTGCATATGATTCATTTTCCAAGAAAATCAACATGAACTTTCAATGTGTGTTCGAATGTTCAAATGACTTGAAATTAAACACATTGCTTGCATGGAAGGCTGGGGATTCCCAAGCAAGAGGGGAGAGAAGCCAATAAAATGGAAACCAATCTCAGAATACGCGCTCCGGGATGAAACCTCTGATGAAGAAATCATGGAAATAGAAGCTTCTAAAGAAGAATATTATTTTGATGAAAATGATCCGATAAATAATGTGATTCTTCGACTTCAAGCAATCAAGGAACAACATGTCATCTCCAAAAACCCTTTGGAAGAAGAGAAGAAGAAATAGTCATCAGTTTCTTGGCTATCCACTCTAGCAGAAGCATCCAAAAGAATTCATGACATGGCTAAGTTAAAAACAAGGCTGACAATTGATGCCTTTCGTGCCACTCAGTTAATGTCTCCTATGATTCCTACACCAACGATTATCCAAATCAATAAAGCTTTTTCTACCAAGAAACCTAATGAGCATTCCTATAGAGCGTTTCACTATTCCTCCATCCGAGCTAGTCATTACTCAATCCATTCATCAATTCATCTCAGTCATCTCTACTCTTGGAGACCAATCTAAAGACAAGGGAAAAAGGATCACCACTGAATCAGACAGTTTAGTGAAATCATCTAAAAAGTTTGAGGCATGGTCCAAATAACAGTTGCAACAAGCATTTGAAGAAAGCTTTGAGATTCAGGAACTAAAAGATAATCTGAATCCGGTGTTAGACATTTCTCCTCTTTTTCAAGAAGGAATCTTACATGCAATCGACTTGTGTCCTTCATGTATTTTGATCTTCCAACAAATGTTACACACCAAATTGACTTACCAATCTCTCCTCATAGATGCTACTAAGTCAAGTTCGCACCGCTGCGTCCATCCAATATACCTCAAACCATCATTTGAATTGAGCGTGAGAGATTGAGAACCTTTTATTCCATAACTGCACAAATCTAAAAGGAAGTGTGGTCTCAAAAAATAATTAACAAGATTGTTGGTCATGGTAGAAAGGTTCAAAGAAAGTTTGATCTCAACTGACTTCTTTATAGATAATTCATATCTGAAAACAAGGAATCCACTATCACCATAACTACTGTCAAATTTCCTTCAATAAACCAGAATGACATTCACACCATGGTTGTGCTCCTCAAAGATCATCCAACAAATGAATCTAGCCTTAGAGCTTACAAAACCATAATCAGATTTCTCAAGGACTATATTGCTGAATATTGTAGATCCGATGTGGAGTTTTCTCACCTATTCGAAAATGAGAAATAGTAGGCCAAAAATAACACTGAGCTTCCCCGAAGCTTAAATCTTAGTCGAAGGTTATTGAAGAACCAGAACTTAATTATGTCTACCACAACAAAATACTAATCAAAAAGAATTATTTTGTGTTCTTGACAAACACCTCATTCCCATCAAGATTCTTCAAAAGTTCATCAAATGCTTCCAATAGTAATTCTTCCAATAATATCAAGAAGAAATTTATTGAGCATCTTCAATGGTACATAGAGAACATAAGGTGGCTCTAGAGTGCTTACATGTTTGGGTTTGCTGAAGCCAAGTGACAAGTTAAAAGCTTGCTAAGGTCACTTAGGGTTAGTTTGTTGGAACATGTAGTGATTCCTATGCAATCCGAGATGAATTCTTACGAGGTTGAAAGCATTATAAAGTGAAGACATGTTTGAGATACAGTGTTAGTTTAGAAACATTTTGTGTCTGTAATTCTTTTATTGCTTCAAGTACTATTTTATAGTGCTTATGTTTTCTAGTATAGTACAAGAGACAACATCTGTCGGTCTGTTTATCTTTAGAAGTCTTTCAGTCCATGCACACTTTATTATTATTTTCCATTATTCAATCCTTTGATGGTTTAAGGAGTTGTCTTCATTGTATCAAACAAGCAGTGTGCACCTTTTCAAACTAATCAAGAATAATTTAGGTGTTGGTTGTTTTTTAGAAGCCAAAATCTCTGCAATCTGCGGACCACATCTGCAAGCCTCTATGGCAAAAGAGGTGGACCGAATGTACACTGTCTGCAATTAAAAGACTGTTTGTTTTAAATTTTGCAGTTGTTGAAATAAATTGATTTTCCAAACATAATTTCATATCATAAACATTAACAATGCATTTTTAGAAAAAAAAAAAGAAACAAAAGAAAGAAAAAAACTGCACGATGTTCCATGTTTTTTTGTTAAGGTTAAAATGAGGTCTGAACACGTTTGAAGAGAACGGCCATGTCTGTGCCAGGAAGACCTTGCACAAACGTTTTATGATCTGCGCACTTCCAAAAAACAAACACTCTGCGAGGACATATGTCTGTGCGGCATAGACAAAATTAGTTACACAGGTCTTCAAAAAAAACAAGCAGACCCTTAGTCAATCGTTCTCTCTTAGATTCTTTGTGTTCTTATATTACTTTACAAGTTTTCTTACTTAATACCTTTCCATATTTTGAGTACTTTGTTGATCATCTCTATTCCGAGACATGACTGGTTTACTAGACATGACTGGATCTTTATTACAAGCAGACACTGATCTTAAGATAATTCAAGGTTTGAATTCTCAAACCTTGTCTAGGAAAATCCTTGCATTCAAACCACCAACAGCCGCCACACGCCACCGTGGCCGGGAGTAAGTGGAGCTCCGAAAATCCACTTCGGCAACCAATTTGGGTTGAAATCTATTTTCCTAAGTCTCTAACATGTTCATTATTCATATTATATTTTTAAATCGTCTCCAAAGCATCTTGTTCCTAAAAATCGAGTTAGTGACCCGGTTTCTGGTTTCCCAAACCAATCAAACTCTAGCAACTAGGGTGATTTCTACGACCCCTCTATTATGACTTTTGAGTTTACGGGAGAATACATGTGTATTTGTTGTTGTTTTACTGGTTTAAAATATTTTTTAACTAAAAGTTATCTTACATTATTATTATTTAAAAGCTTGTGAAATGGTTTTATAAAAGTCTATAAATCACCAAATAATCACATAAGTATAAATAGAATGCTAAATTATGACATATCTATACTTTTTGCGTAATATGATTCTACTTATTTGGAGAAAAGTTAAAAGATCCTAACTATATGGATACAAGTATGTTAAGAATGTATAAAAAAGGCGTTATATATAACCAAAACCATATTCAACATAAATATATAAAATATAAATGTACACTGCCTAAAATGGTTGGAAAAGAAAGTTTAATATCACAACCCCAGCCGATGGCGTAAATGTTGGGTGAGTGACTTAGATTGAATATCAAACACAAATGAGGTCTGAACACGTTTGAAGAGAATGGCCATGTCTGCGCCAAGAAGAGCTTGCACATGCACAAATGTTTTATGATCTGCGCACTTCGAAAAAACAAACACTCTGCGAGGGCATATGTCTGTGTAGCGTAGACAAAATTAGTTACGCAGGTCTTCACAAAAAACAAGCAGACCCTTAGTCAATCGTTCTCTCTTAGATTCTTCCTGTTCTTGAATTACTTTACAAGTTTTCATACTTAATACTTTTCCATATTTTGAGTACTTTATTGATCATCTCTATTCCAAGACATGACTAGTTTACCAGACATGACTGTATCTTTATTACAAGCAGACATTGATCTTAAGATAATTTGTCACACCCCGAAAACCGAAGGCGGAAACATTTCCGGGGTTGACTCCACGTAGAGTATCAAATCCAATGTACATAGTAAGTAAAGTAAATCAACCATTACATTACATATACTAAAGATTTACATTTGTTTCAAAAGCATAAGTTATACAAGTGATACATAGTATATATGAGCTATACAAAAATGAGTCTTCGGAAAACTCCGTCTTCACAAAAAAGGATCTTCGGGTACCTGTCTAACTCGAACCTGAGAATACAAGCGGTTTGAAAATCAGCATAAAGCTGGTGAGTTCATAAGCGTTTAGTTTTTCTGAAAATGTACAAGTTCCTTTGTTTTCCTGAAAAGTAATTATCCAAGAAAATCCCATATTTTCTTATGTAAAGTTAATTTCCTAATCCGAAAATAAAGTAAACGATGTTTAATTAAAACATGATTGTTCTTGTGAAATGTAATTCAATCGTTTAACTTATTACACTTCTCTAATTTCGTACTACTATTACTCAGGAAGAACCCCATGCTCTCCTAACTGTGTGTATGTGAACTATTACTAGTTTCTGACTATGTTCGGTGTCCTTCCCAGGAAAACCCCATGTTTTCCCTGACTGTGTATATGTCTTTACGGTTCTGGTTATGTTCAGTGTTCTCCCCAGGAAAACCCCATGTTTCCCTGACGGTGTGTGTGTATCTTTACTGGTTCTGGTTATGTTCAATGTTCCCCCCAGGAAAACCCCATGTTTTGCTGACTGTGTGTATATCTTTACCGGTTTTGTTTATGTTCAGTGTTCTTCCCAGGAAAACCCCATGTTTCCCTCACTGTGTGTGTGTCTTTACTGGTTATGGTTATGTTCAGTGCTCTTCCCAGGAAAACCCCATGTTTTCCTGACTGTGTGT